GGAGTTAAAGAATCATTCATGTCATAACAAGCCATGAGAAAACACAGCAAAGAACCATATAGATGTAATTTAAATACTATGCACTTCACAGTGTCAATTTCAAACATTTAATGGATGGTTGTTAAGTGTATTAAGACCTTACACTAAGTGCAAGTAATGTTCCAATGATATTATTTTGTACACAAGAATGAAAATGCATTCACAGTGACAAGTAGACCAGACCAACACTGACTGAAACAAAGGGCTAGATAAAGGATACAACAAATGGGGAACACCTGGGAGAGGGAGGAGACAGACTACGGACAGGTGAGGATACTAATAGGGAAGGCGGGGGAAAGGGCGGAGCACAAGAACCAAAACAAAAACACAAGCACATGGCAGAAAGCACATGGCTTCAAAACAGAGCAAGTAGCAGACACAAGAACAAGGGGAAACTGTACATGATGTGTTTACCCAAGACAGAAAGCCATTATTCAGCTTTTCGTCTATCCATTTTGAGAAGTGTGATACATTGGTGTAGATGCCTGGTTTGTTTGGCCTCCCACAGTCAACTCCCCAGCTGATAATTCCCGCAAGATACCACAGACCCTCCTGATCCTCACACACCAAAGGACCCCCACTGTCCCCCTGCAAAAAGAGAGACAGAGAGAGACGGTGGTAAGATGTGAAAAGTGAGAGTACAAGCATCACATGCCATGTCAGAAATGAGTTTCAGAAAAACTGAATACAATTAATTGTCAATTCAATTTGTATTCTAAAGCATACAAACTTTTACAAATGACAGCCAGAATGAAGTATGTGTGTTTGTGTGTGTGTGTGTGTATGTGTGTGTGTGTGTGTCTGACTCACGTGGCAAGCGTCTTGGCTTCCGTTTGGATCTCCTGCACACAGCATGCTCTGAAGGATGCTGCCATTGTGGACATCCTGAGAGTTACACTCGCTTCGCTCTACAATTTTCACATCCGCTTCCATCAAGTAAGATGAGCTTGGAACTGTACTATCTATCACTTGCATAAAAGATAAACACATACAAACATACATATTAATAAGCATGGCATGATATTATTATATTATTACATAGACCCAAAACAAAAAGCATTTTGCAAGGAAAAAATTCCTGTAAACACTAGATGAGTCACTAAATAACATTTATCGTAGCAGTTATTTTAGCAGCTTCTAAAATGTTTCACTTGGGTTTTACCCATAGAACAATATGTTGTAATATTTCCTTTAAATGCTACAATGCACTGACAATTAAGTAATCACAAAAATTAGTTAAACACACAAAACAGAAATTTTGCCCAGTGTTCCAGGTTTCCCACTTTTACTTTCTCAGAAAAATCCACTCTGAAATTCTCACTACTGTTACTGTAAAATCAAACTCCTCTACAGCAGTGATGGACGTTGGACATTGAGAACTGATCATGTCTTATTTGTCAATTCTTTTCAAATAGCTACCCTATTCACTTATTTATCCAGTGTCTTATTTTAATCCACTTCTATGGTATAGCAAAAAGGGTTCTGTATAGTAAGCCAAAATAGTTCCATGACATGTTTCTGACACTGCTAACAAAGTAGGTCTTACACAATTTTGAATATTAAATCTGCTAGTGGGCTCTGTGGGCAGCAGTTGACTAGTTGAGGCCAGTGCCTGAAATACACTGGCAGTAAGAATCAAAGAGCCAAAACAAACTTGCTACAAAAACAGTATCGGTCAGCAAGCACATGAGGATATCTCATTTACTTGCTATCTACGGTCCTTTCAGTGTGAAGTCTGCAAGTTCTCGTCATGTCGGTGTGGATTTCCTCATAAGACATGCAGTCAGGCCAGAGTGTTAAATGGGGTATCATGACTCTGTCCTGGTTCAGCTCACAGTCACTCTGAAAGGCTTACTGGTGAGTAGAGATGCAACTCGCTATTAGCATTTAGCTTGACAAACAACTGTTTTTTCCCATCAGACATTAAACATTCACTACTATGAAACTGTGTTATAAACTCCAACCCTATAAGTTTACATGAAATAAGTCATGAAAATGTGTTATGTACCATCAGTGTATATATATATATATATATATATATATATATATATTATATATATATATACTGCATTAAAAACAGACATGATTCTGTAGTGGAAATCGCTATATGCGCTCAGAAACACTTCTGAAAAACAGTGTCTATTAAAACAGTTTGTCGCTGCATCCACAAATGCAAGTTAAAATTCTAAAAAGCAAAGAAGAAACCATATATAAACAGGATCCAGAAACGCTGCCACCTTCTCTGGGCCCGAGCTCATAAAAAATGAACTGGGGCAAAGTGGAAAAGGTTTGACGAATCAACATGTGAAATTATTTTTGGAAATCATGGATACTCAGCTTGTTATCAGTTCAAAAGCCAGTATTCATGATGGTATAGAGGGGCATTAGTACACATGGCATGGTTGACGTGCACATCTGTGCAGGCACCATTAAAGCTGAATGATATCTATACAAGTTTTTTCATATACAACATATGCTGCCATCCAGACGACGTCTTTTTCAAGGAAGGCCTTGCTTACTTCAGCAAGACAATGTAAAGACAATGTAAAACCACATTCTGCATGTATTACAACAGCACAGCTCTGTAGTAAAAAAGTTAGGGTGCTAAACTGGCCTGTCTGAAGTCCAGACCTGTCACCACTGAGAAAATATGGCACTTTATGAAAAGAGAAATATGACAAAGGAGACCCTGAACTGTTGAGCAGCTGAAATCCTATATCAAGTAAGAATGGGAAACATTTCACTTTCAAAACTACAGCAGTGTCTCCTCAGTTCCTAATTGCTCACAGGGTGCTGTTAAAAGAAGAGGTGATGAAACACAGTGGTAAACAGGCCCCCGTCCCAACTTTTTTGGAACGTGTTGCTGCCATGAAATTTAAAATGGGCAATTATTTTTCAAAAAACAATAAAATTTCTCAGTTTCAACAGCGGATATGTTGTCTTTGTACTATTTTCAATCAAATAAAGGTTCTTAAATGGTTCTTGGCTTGCACATACAAATCCAGGTTGTTACGACCCCTGGTTGTAATATACCTTTTATGTGCCTTGTGTTGGCATTTTGTGTTTTCCCCTGTTGTGTGTCCCCTTATGTGCAGGTACATGATTGGCCAGATGGGGGCGCACAAAGGTATAAGAGGTCGCCGAGCCACCATCTTGAGAGACGTTCAGGGCTCTTTCCCCTTTGACCCGACCTGGAAGAACACCTGTCCAGACCAGCCTGGCATTCATCATTTCTGTCTGCTTTGCTTTGTGACTGTTCGATTATGCTTTGAGAGCTTGGGGAAAGTAGGGGACGGGTGCCATATTGTTTTGGTTACCTTTTCTCCTGTTTAAGGTAGGGCGTTAGGGTAGCCTATATGTCTTTTGTTTCTTTTGTTTTTAGTTTAGTAAGTATGAAATCATTAGTTGTTTTGTTTGTTATTTTGGCGAGTGCTCGTCCCTGAAGCCATCACCTCAACTTGTCTGAGCTTTGAAGAAAATAAACCTGTCATTTTCTGGTTTAAATGGCGTCTGGTGTCTGGTCTGGCAGCAGGTCTGGGGAGAGAGCCGACTCTCACTCTCTGTTACGGCCTGACCCTAGACCGGGTCGTAACAAGGTTCTTCGCACTCGCACATCTCATGTACAAAATTGGCTTTTTACAGAACCATCCATTGTAAGTTTCTTTCTGCAATCCCCAGACAGGCCAAATATTTTCTCCAACCTATAAGACGTAGGAATAGAGCAAAACTGCAGGCTACCTGGGTGTCCCTGAAGACTGGTTTCAGAACCACTGCTTTAGGTGGTTTTACTATAGCATCACTCTAATCAACAGCTTTGACACCTTTATTTTCAAGAGTGTAGTTACTGAATAATTTATGGCAGTTATTAAGCAATAAGCATTAATATTAAGATAAGTATGTGTTTTAGGGGGTGAAATGGGCTACATGGACTAAATAGATAAATAGATTAAAGTGTACTGTAGCACACACATATACGGAGAGAAGAAAGAGAGAGACTTACTGGTTTTCCCAAATCCTGCTATCCAGCATTTTGTTCCAGTAGGAAAAAGATGGTCAGGACGTGGTAGACACACAGAGTGGATATTTTCTACAAGACATAACACGGAATATTTACATGAAATTGTAAAGCTCTAAAATCAGGCGCATGAGGAAATCACAACATTTAATGTCATACCATTACAGGTGCTGCACTAACACTAGCTCAGAAAGTGTTGCATTTTGGTGTAATTTCACATCCAATAAGACAATTATGAAAAATAATACATCAGTCTGACTGAAAAATAATAAATTGGCATAATGCAAGTTTGATAAGGCATGAGTGGACTAACCTGAGAACTGGACGGGCTGGCTGAGTGTCAACAAGGCAATATCGTTTCTGAAAACTATGCTATCCTTATCATAGGCCTGGTGTAAGATGATCTCTTTTACTTTGTATGGCTTGGAGGGTTCTTTTCGATTGACCACTCCAAGATACACCTGCCAGTCATTCTCATTTGGGCCCGTACTGCAAAATCAAGTTAAAAACATGTGAAGTACAAGTTGCTTTTACTTTTTTATTTTATTAACAGTCTGATCAACTGGATTACTTCATTTCAAAATTCATTACACAGGTCTAATAGTTTCATTGTGTCATGCTCAAATTTCTAGCTTCATGTATGTGTTAGAAAGGGACAACAGTGCAACTGTTTGCATTGCACTAATACACCATTTGAAGTTTAATGGAATGAAAGTATAAGATTCTTATTAATTCACTTCAATTTTTCGAGAAATCTATAATTATACACAGGATAATTTAAGAGATGAAATACTGATATGGCAATTGTGATACATACTCGTCAAAGCAATGGGCTGCTGTTAGCACATGACGGTCACCCACAAGAGAGCCCCCACAGCCAGCACTGCCATTTTGCAGTCTGACAAACCAAGGCCATTTTTCATGCTGAGGCCGTTTGCCATTTATTATCCTTTTCTGTCCATCTGATGAACAAAAAGGAGAGTCTTGCTCACATCAGATTAAAAATGCATAAATATACCTGCCTTAGGCTGCAGAAAATGTAAAGATTAAAATACATTTAATGATTATTAGTATAAATCCAGTTTAACCATTTAGTTATTAGATATAGTCATTGATCATTTTATCAGATATAGTGAACACACAGGTGTACTTTGTCGGGTTACAATTACTGAATGTAGACCATTTGTTGGTGCACAATTATTCTGCTCCCTCCACCCCGGTGGATCACTATAGGACCACCACTGACCAGATATTCTACAGGTGGTGGTCCTTTCTCAGCACAACAATGACACTGACATGGTAGTGTGTGTGGTGCAGGTATGAGTGTATCAGACACAGCAGTGTGCTTCCACACAGATCAGCCAAACTGCTAGGTTGAGAACGGACCACCACCACAAAGATATCCAGACAAGAGCAGCTCTGTGGTCTGAAATGATGAAGATTCTAGAGCAGGAGTCCTTTTTTACAGTGTGACTCTTTTTGGGGGTTACAAATATTTCAGTAGAGTCATACAAAAGCACAGTTACTATTTATTACATATGCGGGAATTTGTGATCTCACACATGGCCAGCAGAAATCCATAATGAACATCACATCCATGTGTATGCAAGATCCCTTTGGAAATTAACTAATGAAATGAGAACGTAACGTGTTGTAATCAGTTTTTCTTGATGTGTCCATAAAATGTTCTTACAGCAAGAAAACATTTCTGAACAATTGACAATAATGTCAGCAATTACTTACAGCAAGCTTTTGATCTTGAAGGCCATGTGCAACGTTCCTGTGTGCCTTCTGTTGTTTCAGAACAAGCGCATGTTTCAATATAACATTAGGCTGAAAAAGCTTTTGACTAGTCTGAAATTGAACAATCAGCACTGGGCAAGTTTACTAAACAATTTTATTGTTACATTTATTTATTATGACTGGAGGTTTTAATTTTAGTTAACTAAAAACTTACCATCTGTTATTCTTCGACTATCAGGCTTGGTCCATAAATTGCAGTTTGAGTAGACTGGACACAGAATAGCAGATTAAATGCAAGATCAATAAAATAATTTTAAAATTATTCAAAACATTTTTTTAAAACACTGATACATAACTTTTTTTTTTTTAAATAGTCACAACGGAACAACACAGAACTGGCCAAAAACGAGAGGGAAGTCAATTGTCTAGTTATTTTTGTGATGTAAATAAAACAATACATACAATATATATCAACAAAACAATACATATCCATAAAGCAAAGCTAATATTTTGCACTCAAGCCATTTAAGTCTTTGTCACAATAAATTGCTTTGTTTTTGCTACTGTTTCATACTTTCCATGAACAAAAACAAGGCACCACTGGGAGAAACTGTTCAAGGGAGAAGTGTAGAGTAGAGTTCTATTCAATTATATTGATACACACTATAGATACCTAAGCTACAAAGACTACATATTTATTATAGTTTATTTACTATAGTATAGTAACTATAGTTTGCACTTTGAATTATACCTCTGAATTCTGACCTACAGCTGCTGATGATGCACATGTCTTTACTTACTGTCTACGCACCTACTGTCTTGGTGTTTTTAACTATTGTCTTTGCACTATTGTCTCTTTTTTATCTATTTTAATCACAGCACAGAGAAGCAGAAAGACAGGGTTTAGTTATACTGTGCAACCCTGTATTAGAAAAATGACAAAGTCAAACTGAATTGAATTTATTTAAATTAACCTTCTCATTATATCTAAAAACAAGACATATCAATTATTTTACATCTGGAAAGAACAGCTAAGCTAATGCTTAACATGCTACCTAGCTGTTGATTTAAACAGCATTCTTTGCAATTACACAGTATTAACATCAAGAATATTAGCATTCATTCATTCAATATTAGCTTTCAATAAAAGCATTTAGGTTCAGGATTTAGCAATAGAACAGTATAGAATTTGGCCTAGCAGATATGTCTGAGCGATGGAGCCAAGCTGTTTTTCTTAAGCTGTAGATTCAATTACGGCCATTCCTGGCCAATGTAGCAAGCAATATTAGCATAAAATTATAGTTAAAGGTGAAACCTTACCTAGAAGAAGGATGATGACCAGTCCTGAGATCAGTGCCTTTGAATTGTGGGTTATTCTTGATAAGAAACTGTTAAAGATAAAACACTTTGTGTAAATTAGTTTGTAATATCCTCGCAATTAAAATCAAATAACTTTTGAATCATTTTTACTTGTGAGCTTTTAAAGCATATAAACAATCAGCAGAAACAAACGTATGTGTTTCTCGGCTGATTATGTGTTTCTCGACTGAGTCTGGCTTCTGTTGTCTCTCAGGTCTTCTGGATCTGAGAGAATGAGAACTCTAACTGTGCTCTTAGGTTACGGTAAGCCTCCGCAGTAAAGTTGGCTTGTGGTCAGCCATCCAGACTTCTATCGGTTATAACTCCGTAATGCAGTAACGTTCATCTGCAAACCCTGGTGCGTTTTGTTAGTCCTGATTTATGAATTCAGATGATGTCATTTTCCACTTGCTTTAAGAAGTAGATGATTTGTGAAAACTTTCATTGTTTTATACTATGACGTGTACATTTTCTCTGTAAAATATATTCTAGTTAGTTAAACACTGGCACAGCAATGCATACAACTTCAAAAACTGATTATGCCAAATGATGAAAGCAAGCTTTAATCAGTGTTCCAACTTTCGGTTGTTATTTTATTCATCCTTTTTTATTTAACAGTTGCATTCATTTCAATGACAGTCATTATTTTTATGTAACAAACCCAAAAGTCCTTATATTTGAAAACATTTAAGTTTTCACAAATCAGATAACAGCTACAACAAGTGAAATTTCATTGCTACTGTCTACATGGCGTTTCAGAGTCAACCCTCCAAATATTCAGCTTTTTGTTGCCTAAACTGATTAATAAAGGGCTGATAGACATTTAAAATAGTTGTGAAATATTTCACAAATCAGGAAAGTTAATTTGATTGAATTTTTATCTTTATACTTGATCAGTTATTAAAGTTGTATGCATTAATGTTTTATATTTGCCCCCAAAAGCTGAACTACTGTATTATTGCACCGGAAAATGGGAGTAGCACTGCATAAATCACTCAATATAGTGTTTGTGAAAGTTTTCACAAATCAGTTAATAACCAACCCTGCATGATTATTGGTAGTGTATACATATTAAATTGTGTTCCAGAATTAAAACCACATATTTGGGGGCGGGTGGGGGTGTGGGTGTGTGGGTGAGGGGTGTGGGTGTGTGGGTGTGTATGTGTACTCTTTGCCTGGGCAGGGATTTTAATTCCCTCCGGTACTACACATGACTGCACACGCGACAGACTATGATTTTGCAAAAACTAGGAATCCTGCAGTGTCACTATTTACAAGACTGCAACTAGATTTTTGAGATTATTTCCCATCATGCACCTGGTGGAAATTTACAAGCAGATAAACACTTTTCCTTCCACTCTATAGTGGTACAGATGGTAAGGTACGTTGGCTGGGTGTGTAAAGATCTGGCGCTCAGCTCAGTTCACTGTAGAGCTGTTTACTCTGGCAGATCATCACCCAGAACCTTTTTAATTAACCTGTAAAATGTGCATAAAGATTTACACATCAGCCCAACATGCAGCGATTCAGCATTGCTGACTGGGTGTCATGAACTGAACAATAAAAAACAAACACAGGAAGCAAAAAAAAAGGAAAAAGAAACATTGATGATTCAATAACGCCATTCTGAAAGTGCTCTGTGCATTTCCTTACATCACTGTTACACTCAGTGAGCCTGGAATATTAAAGCAGTCAGCTTGCATTTTAAGTTAATATGATTATTGTATTAAAGTAGAGTAGATTTGCCGTTTTTACAGAGATTTCAGGCTCTCATGTACATTCTCTCTCTCTCTCTCTCTCTCTCTCTCTCTCTCTCTCTCTCTCTCTGCCCATGGCGCATCGCTATTTGCATGAGCCAAGACTTAAAACTTCCGATAATATTAAACACGGTTGATTTTGTCGCAGCGTCAGAACGAGAAAAGTCTGACTTAAGACCACCATCAGGACCACCTTACACTAAACGATCGAGATGACGCGAGCGCGACGCGACTCTAACAAGACTCTCATGATTTTATTCCGACATTGGAAATTTGTCTGCGACAGTGAAATCGCTTGAAAAGTCGGCTTCTCAGCTGCTGCTCAACTGAACTCGCGCGAACTCTCGTGGTCTCCCGTTACCAGGAGACCCAAATAAACAAAGCAAGAGCGGCTCGCGGCTGTTCTCTCTGCCGTTTGCAGCTGGTAAGCATGTTTAAGTGAGGCCTATTTAATAATGTGAGCACTCTGGTGTTCTTTTAAAATACATAAACTCGACTGTTCTCGTGCCTTAAACTCAGCTCATTTAAAAAGCTTTACTCCACACATGAGAGACCTTTTGCCATTTTTCTTTGTTTACTTGCTGTGTTTTCTTTTTTCACACTCTCAGTTTTCATTGGCTGTTGCAGGAATCCGTTCAGATTGAGCCGTTGATCAGTTGACACTAGATTACACTCAAAAATCATGTTTGATAACCTCCGACACTCTGAAACGCGATCAGGAGGCCAAAAGTCAGAGTCTGCGCCCCTCAAACACCACTCGACCTTCTCTCCAACTGTCGACTCAGACTGACCCAAACATCTGCAGACTAGAGCCGACCAGCAAAGACTTGGCCAGACTGAGAATCTGGGCTAAAATCGGGGCTGCGCAGCATGTCTTGAGCTTAGCGACTCATTCTGGAGACTGGTTAATGCTGGTTAACGGAGGTCCACAGATCACGTGTTTCGAGAGCTTTCTACAGCGGGCATCACTGAAAAGCGCAAACTCTTCTGCCACCACGGGCAGTGTAATTACTTATCATAACTTGTTTGTTAGACATGAAGAACTCCTGACACATCTAGTTCAGCGTAATATGTTGTTGTGGACGTCACATGTAGATGGATTGAAAATATCAACAGTAGACATCTTGACTGGCATGGAAATGAAGGGATGTTCTTGCCCATTTTCAGCCTGATCATATGTACATCTTGACAAACGAAGTACCACCGTTTACCTATTCACTTATATGCAACCAGTCGGTGCGGTTTATTTCACATCTACAGCGACTGTTCCAACATTAAAAAATGAATGAAGGTTGACGTTCCTAACGGAGAGACCATTTCTGTTATGATTCTTTTATAAATGCCTGTGGGTCACATCCACACTTAAACATACACATGTAAAGACTGCTATCCCTGGCAGATGAACTGTAGTCTGACCTAAAAAGAACATTTTATCCTAATATTAATCTCTATGTGAGAATGCTAACAAAGAAAGACACACCTATGAAAGCAAAGTAATACTACATACCTCCACATTTTTGATGAAAAAGACTGGTAAAATAAAAAATTACAAGCTAAAAAAACGATTCTCACACACTCCCGGCAATCGAAGGAACTGTATGATGATGCTGTCGCTGTTTTGCCACACCTTCCTGCTTTACTTGTAGGTAGGTATTTCAAGCCCAGGAAGGGAACTTTAATTCTCTTCCCGTTAGTCACTACATCTGAATGACTCAATACT